AAATGAAGACCAGCTTGAGAACATTTACTTGAACCCACACAAATTTAAGTAAACAGAATAATATACACCATAAATGTTGTAGGGATGATCATCTGTCAAAAACTTAGCTACTGTAATCAAGACAATTCCAAAAAATTTATGATAAAAAGAAATTACATCTACCTCCACAGAACTGATGGACCCTGAATGCAGATTGAAACATACTTCTTTTCAGTTTCTTCATTTTTGTTGTTTTGGTTTGTTTACATTTTCTTTTGTAACATGGCTAATATGGAAAAGTGTTTGACATGACTTCACTTATATAATTGAGAGCAATATTCTTGCCTTCTCAAGGATGGGGGAAGAACTGAAGGGAGGCAGAAAATTTGGAATTTTTTAATGATATTTTTAACATGGAATTGGGAAACAGTTAAATAAATTATATATGTATATACATATGCATGTATTATGTATGTATATATATACATATTTAAGAAACTACTCAGAAGTTGCTGACATAGAGAGGTAAATATATATGATTACTATAGTAATGGAGAAGAAACATGAAAACCTAGTGGAATTCTTGAGGAATTGTTATAACAAAACCTTGAGATACCATTTTACACCTACCTGATTGCCTAAAATGATAGAAGGAAAAAGTGGCAAATGTTGGGAAGGATGTGGAAAAATTGAGACCCTAATTTATTGTTATTGGAATTGTGAAATGATCCAAATATTTTGGAGAGCAAAATGGAATTTTGTCCAAAGACTTATGAAGCTACCTATACCCTTTGACCCAGCAATACCATTACTTCATCTATTTCCAAAGATGATTAGGGAAAAAAGAAAAAGAACCCATAAGTTGTAGAATGTTTATAACAGCTCTCTTTGTGGTGGCAAAAAACTGAAAACTGTAGGGATGTCCATCAATTGGAGAAGGATTGAACAAGTTGTGATATATGATTGTGACGGAATCCTACTATACTATAAGAGCTCAATAATTTTAGAAAAAAAACATGGAAAGGCTTGCATGAAATAATAAAGAGTGAAATGAACAGAACCAAGAGAATCTTGTACATATTAACAGCAATATTGTTTTAATGATGACTTTTAATGAATAAGTTATTTTGTCTATGATAAATACCCAAATTAACTATAAAGGACATTTGAACAAGATGTTACCTGCATTCAGAGAAAGAACTGATAAATAAACATATAAAATTTATATATATATATGTGTATATATATATATGTGTGTATGTGTGTGTATATATGTGTATGTGTGTATATGTACATGTGTGTATAAAGACACACATGTACATATACATACACACAGGGGGAGAGAGTCAGAGAGAGAGAGAGAGATCTATTTGTGTCAATTGGTAGCCATTTCTAGGCTAGAGGGAGGAAGAAAAAAGGGCAAAAAATTACATGATAATTTTTGTATATTTGAAAGGAATAGCAAGTTGTGCATAGTCGATTTGTAGTTTCATGTAAAATCATTTTGTTTTTCCTCTACTGTGTTATGGAAATGCTTGTTTTATTTGATAATTTAAAAATAAAAACAAACAAGAATGATGATGAAATAAACCCCTCTCCAACAAATATTATCCCTGACACATAGGTGATGAATTTATGTTTTAGAAGGAATTTGTTTTCCTTATTATACACATTTCTTATAGGAGATTTTAATTTTTTTATTTCCCCCCAATGAGTTGGGGAGAGAAGGTGAGAAAACAGGTTTCTCTTTGTTGTTAAAAAAAAAGAGCTAAGAGGGTGATATAGATGTGGAATGTTGAATGCTTTCAGAAAATGTCATTATATTATATGGTTTTACTTAACTATTTTATTATGTTAAAAGAGACCATTTTCAAAGTGGAGATAATCTATAAATTTATGATATATAAAAATAAGACCCTTAAATAGAAATATTAAAATGAAATAATTAAAATTATGAAAAATACAAAGATAAAAAATGAAGAAAATCATATTCTCAATGAGCTTATATTTTGCCATTGAAGACAGGAGTTCATAAGCTTCCCTCAAATGTTAAAGGGGTCTGTGAAACAAAGAAGGCTACCAATCCCTAATTCAAATGTTATTCACTCCATAAGTGCTTCCCTTACTGTCCTGTCAGTAATGACCTACCTCCTTGGACCTCAAGTAGCACCCTTTTCCCTACTCCAATATTATAGGTGTCAATGTCTTGCATGTAGTAGAGGTTTCAATAACTATGTTTTGTTTTGTTTTGTTTTGTTTTGTTTTGGGGAAAAAAACAGAGATGATTTATACTGTCAACTCATTCATTTTTCAGGACTTGAAAGTATGTGAGAAAACCACTCTAACTGTAAAAAAGTTCTCCCAAGTTATTATAGTGTAAATCATAGCACATGATAAATATAGTCAAACTTAAACTTGGAGTAGAAGGGGAAGAATTAAATTTCAAAAATCTAATTTAGTTTTCAAAACCTTGTTAATAAACATTGAGATTATTTCACAATGAATGCTTTGGACTGAAAAATGAAGAATTTGTGCAAATTTCTCTATATCATCCATTACAAATGGTTCACATGTAGAATAAACATCTAATTAGAACAGCACTGATGACAAATGTAAAGTATCTTTTAAATTATTTTCTGAATTTCATTTTACTTGTATCATTGTTTTAGACACTTAGTAACATTTCATTCTCAACTAGCACCTTGTCTTTTTCATACAACAAACACTGATTTATATGTGTGTTGTTTCTTGTAGGAAAGATGTTAGCATGATCTTGCCTCATTTATTCTAGTGTGTGCCCCTGGCATCATCAATAATGCCATCAATTATGTTAGCAAACCTGCAGAAGTAGGATTTATTAGATAACTTTTGCCCTTCCTGTCTTGTCAGATCTTCACCAACAGATTACAATCTACCAACAAAAGTGTGGCTGTATATTTTAACATTGCTTTAATTTCTTGATCATTCAAAATACTATCTTTCAGATATATGTGCCCAAGTATCTAATGTAGGTAATAGATTTGAGTATTTTAAGTAATGCAAACTGTGTCAATTTCATTATTTACCTTCTTGGAAAGAATTTGGGACTTAAAAAATCATTTTCCATGATGAATAATATCATTTTTCTCAGTCACTATGAAAGCAAATAATACCTCTGAAACTATGAGTACATTGTATTTTTGACATCCAAACTGATATGTTATTTTTTGTCCCCCCCTTGCATCTATTTTTTGTGCTACTTGTGGTAGTAATCAATGTAGATTGCCTTGAATTTCTATCTATCTGCTTCACCTGTTTGAATTTGTTTTGTTTTGTCAAATAACATAGTATGTGTAAAATAATTTGAAAACTTAAAATGACATAAAAATGTTAGCTATTGCTGTTGTCATCATCATGTCCCAACTAAGTTCTAAAATCCTAAAGAGCAGGTATCATAGCTTTGTCATATTTTTCACATCTCTGAATGTTGCGTCCAGCACTTTGCACATAGAGGATACCAGAATGATTATTGAATTATTAGATGTATTTATATACATTTGCATATTTATATAAGTGTGTATATGCATATGCGTGTAAATACTGATGTATTCATACACATATAAAATTTACACCCTTGTGATACAATTATTACTTTTAGGATAGTATGTTATTTACATTTCTATATCACAATTTGTATACGTTTGATGACTATTACTTATTGAGGGCAGTTGGATATTTTGTTACACTCTCTTAACTTATCTTAGATTTCAACTCCCTGTTCACTCCTACCCCCGTCCTCTTATGGAAGATTGTTCTTCAACTCCTCTAGTTGACATTAAAAGCTTTTTATAAACTTGTGATACCTTTCCAGCCTTTTTATACTTTACTTTACTCAGTGCATGTGGCAGTCTACACATACTGGCCCACTTGCTATTCCTCAAATGCAACACTGAGCATTCCATCTCCATGCCCTTGCATTGACAGTTCCTATATACCTGGAATATTCTAACCATTCATTGCTACCTTTTAGTTTTTCTTGGTTCCCTCAATATTCAGCTTGGATTCCATTTTCTGAAAGAAATGTATCCCAGCCCCACACCCTTCACCTGATAATGCCTTGCCTGGTCAGATTACCTTAATCTTAAGTTACTTATATCTTGTTTGATCCTCCAGAAATATATTGTGATTCTAATGTAAATAATGTTTTCTACAGTTTTCCTTGCACTCTCTAAGTGTCTTTAGATATATTTAATGCTGTAGGTATGTCTATAGTTTTATTATTTAGGAGGATATAAATCTCAAGTACATTCACACATTATACCTGGGTTGGATTTCAGAGTTTTTTTTTCTTTATTATCAAAATAGCTATCATAGAATTTTGTACTTGAACAATAAGCATACTGACTTTTTTTGGGCTGGGGGGTTTGTTTTAGGAGATTGTTTCTCATGTTAGGATATTACTTACTTATATTGTTTAAAAGTTACTTAAACAATCTCTCCCATTTAGATTATGAAATACTTGAATATAGGCCTCACAATTTTGTGTAATTTTATATCCTAAAATAGTTAACTTTTAAGATAGCAAATTAGATACATTTTGGTAAATAGTATATATTGAATAGCCACTTGTTTGGGATAGAGATAATATATGTAACATAGCAAATGACTTAGTGATGCTTTGTAGGTTTATCTGAATTTCATTTGCAAGGCAAAATATTTTCCCAAAAGATAACCAGTTTCAATTATTTTCAAGTTCTGAGTTTTTAGAAGAGGTGCTAGAGAAAACAGAATTCTTACAAGTACAAGTCTGTTTTACTAAAAATTATTAAGATATGAATATAGTCTCAGTTTTTCTCATCTATAAAATATATACAATAGAATCTGTTACCTAACAGGGTTGTTGTGAGTTTATGCAAAGTGCCTTAAAATCCTTAATATCCTTTAAATGTCTACTGTACTATTATTACAACTTTTTAAACAATGTTCATTATGATATTAACTATCATCTTAATTACAATCTTCATTCACTGTTTCTCTTTCAGCAGTAGCAGCCTCTAGTGATCAAAGCCAGATTCCTATAATTGCTGTATCTGTTACAGTGGGAGTCATTTTGCTGGCTGTGGTTATTGGATTCCTCCTCAGTGGAAGGTAAGTGAGAAATCTATGATCCTGACATTTGCAGATCATCTTTTCTTAACTGTGATCTGATCTATTTTTTCTGATAAGTGCAACCTGGCACAAATCATGTAAATGGTATAAAAATGGCAGACTTCATCATATGGATTTTCCAGATCTTACTTTGACCATGCACATCTATTTTTCAATCACACAAATTGTTAATCTAAGTGTTCTATATCCAGAAAATATTGCACTTGCTTCAGGTTGTCCTTTTGGCCTTAATGTATTCAACATAACCAAATGTGATTTCTACTATTGAGAGAAAAAGATCAAGATGAGTTTTTGGGTTTTAGAAGTGTGTCTTAATGAATAGTTCACAGTAAATGGGGTGCTCCACTGGACTGGGGACTGTTCAAGGCTGCTCCTAGTGTCTTAACAGGAAGAGGAGAGATAAACAATCATTATAACATAACTAGCAGTCCACTCCTTGAAGTTGACTGACAAAATAGAGAACAATTGGGTAGCAGATGGTTTTCATGACTAAATTTACTTCAGCTCACAAAGAATTTAACTTATCACTATCATCATTGAGGTGCAGTGATTTTATGTAAGTCTGACTTCATATTTACATCTATTGAAATTTTGTTTTTATTTAAAAAATATGCCCTCCACTAAAAGCTTCTAATATGTATTTGTTATCATTCCAAATTACAGGGCAACATGTAGGAACATATTTGATACCATAATATATAAAATTCATCCTGAATTTATAACCAAATGATTTTTAGCCTCAACTAAGGTACTGCATAGGGTTAGCATAGAATTCATTTCCCATTAGTAAATTGGATAGTGTGGTATTAATAGAGTGTTGAATATGGAGTCAAAGAATCTTCTTGAATCAGTTACCTGTACAACCTTGGGCAAATAACATTTCTAAGTATCAGTTTCCTGACCTGTAAAGCAAGAGGGTTGTAATAGATGAGCCATAAGGTTCTTTGCAGCTCTGATCAAAAATGTGATAAATATATCCAACTATGCTCCTTTCCCAACCATATACACATGTAGTAATTTTGCATTCCTATTGACAATCATCCATGCCTTTATCATACAAGCAATCCATTTGAAAAGAGTTTGAGAATACAGCCTTTAGAAGAGCTTATCTGTATGGAAAAAAATTAAACTTGTAAAAAATTATTAGGTAGCCAAAAACATCCTATGAGGGGATCAATATAAACATGGATTTTTCCTGTGCTACTCATTTATTTTTGACAGTTTGTCCTCAATGAAACATAGAAATATATGGAATTTCAAATTTTCAATATATTGAATCTTATAGACAGCATAGATTAATTACTGCATATTTAAATTGCATTGGGAAGAAACATTTTATTTCTATTTAATTCACAAAATGTACTTTGTACTTAAGCTTAAGAATTTTCATTCACCAGATTTTCAGAAGCACATGCTTTATTCCTTTCTTTCCTCCCCAAACACATGCTATTAGAAAGCAGTTAGTTTTAACAAAAGCAGGCATAAAACATTACAGAAATAGCCTTTCTCACTGTTAGGAAGTATTTTGTTTTTGTAGGTTTAATAAGAACAATCTCCTTTGATGCCTTCCATCATCCAGCCTTTAAGTGATTTAAAGACTGAAGTTGTTAAATTAAAGAAAAGTGATAATCTGTGTCCTATCCCCCCTACCAAGGAGTCATTATTGATCCTTGCAACAATTATTACCTAATCACAGGACCAAGTTTCTCCTTCTGTTGCATAGTCCTTCATTTTCTGAGCAAAATCTCTGCAAATCATCAACCAAGAAAATAAATAATATTCTGAAACCATAGCACCTTAGGCAAGGGAAAATATAGATAGAGAAAAAAAATTAATGTGAGAATAGATTTTAAATGAAAAAAATCCACTTTAAGTAGATTAAAGGACGTAGAAACAGAATTCAGGCTCACCCAATTCCTAGTTTTGTCCCTACCTCATCGGAGGATTTGTTTTTTAAAGACAGAATAAAAAGAAATTATTGTTCCCATTTGGTAAATGAAACTCTTCACATTCATTTGTCTGAACTAGTTTTTTTTTATTTAGCTTAATTTTTTATTTGAGTTTTTTTAATTTACCTTATTTTTTTATTTGAGAAAAATACCTTAACCTTTTTTTCCCCTTTTTTGGTCATTTAAGGAAATGGCTCTCCCTCTTGCACCTGTTCAATTTTAGCTAAAAAGTATTATGTTTGTGGTATGATTTAATAGACCTCTTCATTTCCCTTCAAAGCATATAGTAAAAAGTCTCTGTTTTGACCACATTTCATCTGTGTGCTGACTTTGCTGATGCCTTGCCACTGAGAACTCCAGATTTTTGTGTTACAAATGCCTTCACTGGCTGGCACCCTCAGATTCCAGGGCATTCTCCCTCAATTCCTCTTGGAGCAATGGCCACAATTCTGGGGAGAAAACTGTCTTGTGAACCACCTTTAATTGTGTCCCAGTGGGATTATTCTCAGTACTTTCTCTCTATCTCCCCTGACCTCTTTCCCCAAATGATTATACTCCAGATGAAGATGTAGTTTTAAATGACTCTGCTGCTCTTCCTCTTCTCTTCCCATGTAAATGTATTCCCTTATTCATGTGTTTTGATTCATCTTTGAGATAACAAGATGTATTGAAAAGGCTACAGGACTCAGAATCTTGGTTTGTGACTCGGTTGTGCTAGATAGATATGTTACTAGATAGATGTGTTACTGAGCAAATTCCTAAATCTCTCTGAACTTCAATCTCCTTACACACAATATAGGGATAATACTTATACTGCTTACCTCAGCCTCATAGGACTGCTGTAAGGAAAATACTCTCCAATCCCCAAATTACAATACAGATGTGAATGGTTATTGTTAAAATTCACATGGGAATAAACACCTTCAGCTATTGTTGTCTATTAACAGTATAAATTAGCTTATTGAATTAGCACCTGTTATCTAGCCAGGCCCAAAGAGAACTTGAAAGAGATCAGGTAAATTTTATTCAGAATACATTAGAAAGAAAATTAAAAAAGATATTAGAAAGCCCAGTGATATTTACAGGAGAGCAGACTATGTGAATTGTCACAGGGTCAAATTGGATAACTTAAGGTCACCATTTTCCTGGGAAGAAAAGAGTAAGAAATGTTAAATGAAATAATAGTTTCCCTAAGATAATTTAAAAAAATTAAAACAAACTTTGCCTACTGCACAGCTATCTATCTATCTCTTTGCCTTTGTTGTTACTCAGCGGTGTCCAATTCTTCTCATTTGAGGGTTTCTTTGCAAAGATATTGGAATGGTTTGACATTTCCATCACCAGCTCATTTTACAGATGAGGAAACTGACGCAAACAGGGTTAAGTGACTTGCCCAGAGTCACACAGCTAATAAGTGTCTGAGGCTGGACTTGAACTCAGGAAGATGAGTTTTCCCAGCTTTAGGCCCAGCACTTTATCCACTGTGCCCCCAGCTGTCCTTATGTTTATCTTAGTGCCTGGATTTTAGGTGGTATTTAATTCTCTGTGACCCAGAATAGTTTAGTTTACTATGTAAGATAAAGATTTACTTTCCTTTAACAGTTAATAAGGACTTTTATCAAGGGGGCCACCTTTGGTTCCCTAGCTATTTCCATTGCAAAAGAACAAGAAAATTTTCATTCCTGTCAGAAACAGGTAAACAGCATAATAGTACATGACCTTCAATAAGGTAATGAGTGTGTGCATGCATGAGTGTGCACATGCATGCATGTGGTGTAGGATGTACAAAAGACATTACAAAAGCAGAGACAAATATGGAGATAGTGGTCAGTCCTACATCAGAGCTGAGTTTGTGGTACTGTAAGGTTTTTTTTTTCTATTTTCTTTTACTGCTTAAATATATTTGCCTTTACATGAGAATAACATCTTACAAAATAATATAAGCTTTTGTAAATATAAATACCTGGGGAGAAATAAAGTTAGTTTGTTCCCAGGTATAATTTTTACAAATAGCTCTGTCCAAATTATTCTCACAAAATACTTAAGCCCCAGTGCTCAGCTTCAGACTTTACTGTTGATGACACCATGCACCTTAAGTAAGAAAAGATCAAGGGCTTATACTTTTATCAGCAGTAATGTGACATGAGGTTTACATTTTATCATTCATGTTTTAATGCATGGTTCAGAATTCTAAGGGGACATTTGCAAAATAGGAGCATAATCTTCAGGCAATAACCCTGCACCTTCCTCTACTTTGCATTATTATTTAGTGTTTTCTCTATATAAATACACTATCAGGAAACATGGCCTTCACTGCTGATGCACAAATCCCATGGCACAGAAGTCACTGACACTGAGATCCATAGACCACAAAAATTAAAAATTAAAATGATAGCCTATCTCCCTCTTGCTAATGGAGAAAGATTTTTCCCCCATGGTGATTTCTCTATATTATTATTTTTTCAATAGACACAGAATAGAGCTTCTTAATTTTAAAATCTAATATATTTCTCCATTCAGAATTTTTATCTGATGTTTCTCCCTCATTTTCCTTTGCCTCACTTCATTCATTTATTCATGGCTTTTTGCAGCACTTGGCTCTTTGGACATTTGAAAATTCATGCAGAAACTCTCTCAAAATTGGCAAAGTTACAAACTCAAAGAATTTTGTGAAATATTTAAAGGAATAACCCCAGAAAACCATGTTATTAAGCAACAAAAATAAAAATGAGGCAAGAAAACACAGAGAAAAAATTAATCTCTGTACTCACTGAATACCCACACCCTTTTCCTTTACCCAAGGTCAATATATAGACTAACCTGGCAACAAAGCCCCAGGCCTTTTCTTATGTCTATGTGAGTAGGGTATAGGTTTCTCTCAAAAAAGAAACATTTCAAATTAATCAAGCTCAGCCATCAATCTTGAACAACTTTATTCTGGAAATTTAGATTTACATTAGTAATATCGAGAGAGAGAGAGAGAGAGAGAGAGAGAGAGAGAGAGAGATACTTGTACATAATTAAGCTTAT